TTTTTCCTATTTAAAATCCTCAAAAAAGCTACTGAATGTACCTTCAAAGCAAACTGCCCTCTTTCCAGGCAAAAATAACTGCGGTGTGATCAAACTGTTTAACAATAAATAATTATTTTCCAAAATCTTGTTTCTTTAACTGACTGTTGCCTTTCCTTGAAGGGCACAATGGTGCAAACCGCTCAGTCAAAACATATCAAGATAAAAGTTTTCCAGCAGCAAAGGTGAGAGTATGCCGCTATCCTTTCTTCAACAGACCTTGTTTTGCGATCAAAGGCATTTCTGATGTTACAAGTGCAATTGATGGCATGACTCTTCTGATTGCTGTATCCTTTCAAGCCTCCCTCATTGAAACAATGATAGCCTCACTCAAACTAGAGGGTTATTGACATTGACAGGACTTGAACTTGATTGTAGTGTGTTATAATATAAGAAGCGATGATGGCAATTCATAGACTGAACGCGTGTATGTATTTATGCACAAGTGGCTGCGAGAGAGACAGAGAAGATGCAGACTGAGTGAGATTGGTTGTGTGCCACAAAACATCTGTTTTGTCTGCAGCATTCCTCCTTCGTTTGCCCTTTGAAAGGAAAACCAGCAATTTGTTGCAAATGAGATAAGTCAATGTGATCCTTGCTAGCATCTGGAAGCAGGAAAACAAAGTTGTGGAGCGGAACAAAACTTTGTTTCTTTATCCATTTCAAAAGTAGGAAAATATTTGCAACCAACTGTTACACAAAGATGGTGTTCGCTGTTTCTTTTTCAAAACTTCAATATATGAGTCCAACTACTGAGAGATGGTTATGGCATATTTCTACATTTGCCTCAGACATGCAGTAGATATGACGCTTTTGTGGTCAAGCAAATAAATAACAATACCTGGACCGTCTCTAAGAATCAAAAGTGAGGCACATATTGGTGTTAAAATTGGATCTGACTCTTATTTTATGAGAAAACCTTCAGGTTCGTACCATGTTTTTGCTCACGAGAGGGCAAAACAACACAGTGATGCAGTTATTTCAATACTAACATCTACCAAAATGTTTACTACCAACTAAGAATGTCCATTTTGAGCCAAAAGTACTGGATAGACACATATTCGCTGGAAAATATTTAACTACTCTTTGAAAATCAATCACCCCACTAGACTCTCAAATGAATGTATAGTTGTGGTAAACCTACTACATGACATGCTAGGAAGAGGAAGGAAGTGTGATTCTCTGTCAGGGCCAGAAATTTGATTTGAAAATTCAATTTTAAGGGACATAACCAAAGCTTCATTTGCATTTTACCTAAATAGGGTCATGTTTTCTTGAAGAGATTCATCTTTTTTTGACTGCTCTGCTCCGTTTAGAGGTCATAGTGGAGTTTAGAGGCAGCCTGTTTATAGCAGGTCTCACTATTATCCTATAAACCTTGCCCTTCACTCTTGCTGCTGTGCTTCTGTCACAAATCACCCCTGATACTTGTCTCCACCCATTCCACCCTGTCTGCACTCTTTGAATAGTTGTAGCCACATATTTAAATTCATCTACTTTTACTCATCCTCCCAGCCTGTTAGACCTGTCCTCCTCTCATTTCCACATGTATTCTCTCTTGCTTCTATTCTCTCCAGTTCATACCTCCATCGTTCCAGGCTCACTTTCACATGCTCCCAGCTCTCACTACAGCTCACAACATCATCTGAATCATAGTCCACGAGAGCCCTTCCAGGCCTTTCTGTCAACCTGTCCATCATCATTTCCATCATTTTTTATTTATTTATTTGTTTATTTTTGCTCTCTTGGCTCTTCGCACTTTTCTCTTTCTCCCTCTCCCTTATCTTTCCTGCTTGGTTTCTGATGTCTTTTGCATAGTCTCGCTTATTCTCTAACCCTCAAAGAGTTTCTCAGTCTTGTTCTCTAAAACCTAAAGAATTATGGATTTGATCAACTGGTCCCGTAACGGAATTGACACCTTCCTGGGCTTGGGAGAGCCCGATTGTCCTGCGGAGACGTTTGCTGCCGGATACGCAATGGTCGGTTGCGTTGTGTGTCTGCCGACACTCTCGATGGAGGACATTGAACGACATCTACCAATCTTTTTTCTCCTCATCTTTCCTCATGTTGTGCATTTTCCATTGTTATACCTCTCTGACCTGTCTTCCCCATGTGATGTTTGTGTAATGTATGCATGGTAAGATGGCGCTGGCACGGCTGGCAGCCTTAACCCAATTTCGCTCTGGATGAATAAAGTATTATCAGTCTATCAGTCACTGCAAACAAGAAGATTCTCAGGGCAGATCGTGATGTAAACCCAGCCTGTGGCTGTGGTTCATCAACTGCATCCCTCTGTAGTTACTACAGCTCTGTTTTCTCAAAGAGATTAAATCAGTTAACATTCTAGATACAACCGGTAAACAACAATGCAAATTTGTATTCAAGTTACAATCAATTTTTCACCAAAATGCTATGAAATGTACTTAATGACACTTCTAAGCTGTACTGAAAGTCACCCTTTGGCATAGCTACAGTATGTGTGATTAATAAAGCTTATCACTAATTTCCACATTTGGCCAACTGAAGTGTATGTCCATTGCAGTAAGTTTCAACAAAGTTCAAATAAAGCAAGTTTCTTTTACTTTATTAAATTAAGTAATTACTTAAGATTATTACTCTGTGGTCACGTAAAATAATGAAAACTAACAGGGTTTGTGTCCGCTTCCTGGACGCTTTCCTTTCTTTTTGTAGACACAAAATGAAACGAAACATGCACACAGACTGACATATTAATCAAGGTAAGAATGGATGTGCGCAGGCGAGGGAGACTCAGGTGTATTGGTGGCGGGATACTTACAATAACAGGTTCCTCGAAGGGGGTTACCAAGGTAACGGTTCTCTGAGTCACATCTGCAACAACACAGAAAAAGAGACCGGTACAAAGAAAAGAATAAGTGAGACAAAGAATAATAGCATCTGCATTCAACGCAGCTTGAGTTTGCATGGAGTTTTTGTCTTAAAGTGTGTGTGTGTGTGTGTGTGTGTCGTCGTCTTCTGCCAGCTTTTTGTGAGGCCAATTCCCCCGATAATTCTCTCTAATCAGTTGCATGCTCTCTATTTCCCAGAGCCTCACAGACTCACGCATACAAGCAGGCATGCATAATTACCAAAAATAAAACCTCAAACTATAACGCTGATGAGAAAGACAGTTTCTTCAAAAGTCTTCAATGTCTCCACATCCTAAAGAATTTCATGCACATGCACGAGAAACAGTGGGTCACCAGGTTAGATTTCTGAACAAACTGAACAAATGTGGCGGATTTGTATGCAAATAGAGGCCCAGCTCGATCCAAGTCCAAAGGAAACTGCTCAAGGTGTCCTTTTGGCTTCACTTCCATGATATAAAAAAGCTGTTTTGGCAACCTTAACAGTAAATCAGACACAAAGCCACAAACAGGGCACAAACTGTGCCTCCCTCATAAGCCGAAGAGCTAAACAGAGGCTCTTACCACATTTGACAAATCTGCACTATTAGATGCCCTGGGATGAGAACACACTGGAAATCCATACAAAAACACATCACTTGAAAAGACAACGTTGAAAAGCAACTGCTGCGCTCAGATCTATAGCTGGGACAATAGCGTAGCTGTTCTCGATCACGCTTTAGAGTACCACGTCAGCTCAAACAACTGTTCGGGTTTGGCTGGGGTGGAAAACTTTGGAACAACCTTGTTTATCTTTTGTGTTTTTGCATTTAACGATTACCTAGATAAGACAGGATGTTAACTGGTCAGACAGACTGGCCAGCTACAGCCTGTAAAGTGGAATCAGTTCAGCATTATCCATTATAGAGAAAAAGAATGCTTCTGGATAAGAAAGTAAACCGTCCAGGTCAGTCAGAGTGGTTTGCGACAGGTAGCTCAAGTACATCACACTACACATAGCACATATTATCATTTGGACGGATATAAATACTAATTATTTGAGTATCACTCAGAGAAGGTGCCCGTGGACCAATAAACTTTCACAGACAGAATGATAGCAAGTTGTGGTAATTATGGCAAATGTAAATTCTGCTACAATGGTTGTGACGGATTAGTAATGACAGATTAATCTATCAAAAACTGACCAGAGGATGAACTTCTTCAATTATAATAAATATAAAATTCACAAGACTTGTAGAAGAGCTCAGACAAAACATTAGGCAAGCAACAGACACTGACAGTGTTTTGCTATCTTTCAAGACTGATATTGAAGTAGACAGACTTTTAAAAGCACATTGCTTTACGGTAAATACTACCTCTTTCAAATGTGACTCAAAGGTTCGATCTGTACTCTTCTAGGTCACTCAGATTGAAATTTCTGTCTTGGATTGTCTGGGCTGACTCTAATCAAGGTCCCTGAGTGGAAAGCAAAGAAGGAAACATATTCGTCATATTTTTGACAATGGCAAGAGACAAACACCCTGACATTTCACTTTTCAAACAACAGCCGCTGTCATTGTGGACATATTTTCCAAAAAGCATTGTGACACAAATTGTTTATCAGGGTCTGTGTTTCACTCTTTATCTGGACTTCATTTTGACATTTAGGCGGATTCACTGTGACCAAAAAGACTTTTAACATGTTTTTAAAATGCATGCATCATCTGTTGATGGGCGGTAATTGGCTGTTGCTGACCTTTAGGTCCACAAAAAGTCCCTAAAAACTAAGATGAGCTCTTGCAACAAATATCTGTAAAAAAAAAATAAAAATCAAACATAAACAGGGAATTAATGTATGTTTTAAGTTCGTAAGTAGAAGTAATAGAAGAAAAATGTCAGAGTTACAGGTTTTATTCTGTTATCATCAGGAAATGATGTGCATACTTTTAAAGCCATTAAAGTGCCAAGATGGATGATGTGTACCTGAAGCAGCTTAGGCCACAGATAAGTAAATTATTGCCTGGCAGAACAGAACAAAAGCTACAGTTATTAAACTTCCAGTGCAGGCTCAGTGGAAAAGGAACCGTAAAAAATGTGATAAGAGCAAATATAATTGTTATTATAATGCCAAGGCTTTCAAGGCTCTTTGCATCACCGTGAGGGAGTGAAAAATCTCTTTTGTGTCAGTGGGTGAGTGGCTCTATAGGACATTCATTTGGAAGACTTTAAAATGAAAAACAATAAGGTGTTTACTGATATTGCAATGACTTGATGAATCCTGTATTTTGACCAGAGAGAGCGAGAAAGCAAACCAGCTGCTATCAAATGCAGCTTATTGACAAGCTTTGCCAAATATGGTCAATGAATCATCCAAAGAGCTCCACAGAACAATGACTGATTCATAGTGCAACAGATTAAGGAGGGAGGGTTCAACAACACAGACAGTTAGTGGGAAGAAAATAGAGCCTAAAAAGAACATTCAAGAGTACAATGGGCGAGGGGGGGGCTACATGAACAAGAAGGCGAGAGCAGGTCGAGTTTACAGCTGGTCTTTATGAATTCTTCTGTAGCGCTGCAGCAGGTCACAGAGCTATGCTGGATGCTGAATATTTCATTCTTCTATAAAGCCTGGCCAAGGACGTGGCCTTAAACCATAGCAGCTTCACGGAGCTTTTATCCTGAATCAGGAGTTTAGGACAACAATAAAACAAGAAACAGCAACAAGATTCTTCTCTAATAAATTAGAGGAAAAGCCCTCTCAGACTTTAAACAGATAAACAATGGTTCCCAAGTACCCATGAAATAGTATGGATTCAAACGGTACTTTTCAAAAAGCAACTTGGTGTCAGTTGTTCCAATTAGGAGACGAGTAGAGTGGGCTGTAGATGTGCCCTGCCTATAAATAAAGGCATACAAATCCCGGTTACAGCTCCGCTCATTAAAAACTGATTGGTGTGAACCATGTCTCGATCACAAAAACCTTCACAGGACCTTACAAGAAGCAATTTAAAGATGTATGAAGCTGGAAAAGACCCAAAAAGCATTTCTAAAAACTATATATTGTCTATAATTGAAGTAAATACAGGACAGCTGCAATCTTTAGGAGAAGGCATGATGTACACAATATACAATCCTTGAAAAGGTGAAGATGAAATAAAGTAACAACAAAACCTGCACCTGTAGACATTTGTATAACTTGGTAAAAATCACACTGAAAAAGAATTCTACCCAGGACACGGAAGGAAACAGAAGAAATGACTGCTTAAAAAATTAATCCATTACTTAAATCAGATCTCAAGTTTGTGAAGCACCACTTGGATGTTCCACAACACCACAATGTGCTGTATAAACAACACTCGTTTGGAGAAAAAGGCATGGCACACCAATGCCAGGAACTGAGCCAAACTGAAGCATGGTGGAGGTAGCATTATGATTTGGGACCATGTTGGAAAATTTGTAAGAGAACAATAAATTCATAATTTTAAGAAACAATATCAGAGCAGGAGTCCAAGACCTAATGTTAAGGACAGCCTGAGTGGTGCAACAAGATGGATAACCAAGAAAATCTGGATTTGTTGAACCTGCTTCACAGTACCGCCCTCTGTATTATTTGTTCAAAACCACTTAAATGAGCAAGACTCTATTACATATAGACCACCAGATATGATGTGGATGGAGAAAAAAAAACATAAGAATCAAATACACCCCCCACCCAGTCTCTGAGACTAGAAGCCAAAGCAAAGTGGAGCACAAGGAAGGTGAAGTGCCCTTCTTAAAAGGAGAACTGAAGCTTAAGAGAGGATGAAAGAGGCTTATTAAAAAGTGTTGAATCCAGAGAAGAGACTTGGTAAATGGAGCTGCGTCATTTCAAGAGGACTCTGTGACTTTAAAAGCTTTGGAGTCGCTCCCAGCCAACTGCCACAAAGGAATGAATATAGTAAGCCTATTTCAGCACAAGGAGATTTACTGTGATAAACACAATCTCATAAATTGCCTTGGGCCTTTATCTGAAGCCAAATATGATTTTAAAAGTACTTTCACTCATTTTAATCATAGTTTTCTTCTTTTAAGCTGTGGTTATATTTCCAAATATTTTAAATTTTGCTTCTCTACCCACAACGTAGGTTAGAGATTCATTCCAACTACTTACAATAGCTGCTCTGAAGAATATGTCAGCTGGTACAAGAAGCATGAACCTGCCCTACTCTGCCTTCTTACAAAATTTACTCTTGGATTTAACCACCGTTATTTCATGATGTGGCACTGTGTTCACTCTGCACTCACTTTTTATCAAACAAATGCTCTGCAAGGCCGGACACAGCGGAGGCCAAAATGGAGAGAGCTTTCCTTTTAGACGAGGCTGTTTTGTGCCGTTCTCGCCTCACAAAATAAAGTTGTGAGTGACTGGTCCTTTAATACTGAAAGCACTTTTGTCCTATTTTTTTGTATTTTCAATTCAAGCAGAACATTTCTGCAGCAAAGTGGAAAAAAATGGTCATCTTTACATGCATGTTTTTGAAAAAACACAAATGCAAACAGATTTTATGGTTTTGTGAGCGAGTTTGGATTCATTTTAATTAGCGGTGTTGTCATTCTGGGTGCAGTTCCGAGTTAGTTACGAACAGAAATCATGCAATTAAATTAGTCATTAATCTAATTGTTGATCAAAAAAAAAGGGGCACCTATAAAAATAGTATTTTCAAAACATATATTCTGTTGCTCTGGATCTTTTTGCAGCGCAGGAATATCGTCTTTTGGGACAAATTCAAGTGCGACCCCAATTATAGATAGGATGGCTTTGAAGTAGCTGTCTCTACTTGTAGGCTGCATTTGGTGATATGAGCTCAGATTTTTAACGTTGTTTCTTCTAAAAAGTTTGTCACCAGCAGCATATGGACAGAAACATGTCTTGTGGAGGACTTTCCTGCTTCATCTCCTCTATTCAAAACATGAATACTACTTTCATATATTTTAAAAAAAGTTATA